CTCAGAGACAAGGCTCGTTGAACTATCTCTTTTCACGAGCCAGCTCTGTCCTTTTTCTTCTCGTGTCGACGATGATAACGCCAAACCTGTCCTCAAAAGCCACTCTGGGTCCTGACGTGCAGTTGCACTGAATAGCTTCGGCCTATGTGTGTAGCTTTTAGCCCTACGATGGTGACGGATTTGCTCGGAATTCATTTTGTCCAGGTTTGTGTCACTCTTCTGACGTGCCATTGACTTTCTTTTTGAAAGATTGGTGTACGACGCATTTCGAGAGTCGGAGAGTAGGGGAGGAGTTGTTGGAACGGAGACACTGGCAAGGTAAGATGTTGTAGCAGGGTGGGGACTATATGCATATCGTCTAGGGGGTTCTGAATCGTCTTGAGGAGAATGAATTGTGTCGAAATAGGACCCATCATCATCGTCATCATCAACAAGCGGGAATCTGGAGGTCAACGGGGCAAGTGAGACATGTTGAAGAGAGATATGAGAACGGCGGGAGCGAAAAGAAGGTGGTGTATTAGAATGCGGTAAAGACTGCATTGGAAGTTAGCAAACAATAGAACAAGCTATGAAACATTTCCAGGTTATATACCTCCATAATTAGTAGGTAATGGAATATGAAATTTGTAGTATATAAAACATATACAGGTTGCTCTAGAGGGACAACATGAAGCACTGAAGATATAATGTCGTCGATGGAAGATCTGACGAATGATTTCCAGAAACTCTAACCCGCAGGATACAAACGAGCAGGCAAATTATGGCACGCAGCATAGAAGGCCAGGCCGTAAGAACTAGAAGGGTTATATTGAGCCCCCAAATATCCTGCGGAAGAGAGAATGTTGAAGAATAGTGGAAGTTGTTTTGACCTCGGAAGTCAAACTGCGGAGATGCGTATGATGTCGTTCAATTAAGATGTGCGGCTCGTTTGAACGTTGGCCGGTTGACCAGTCCCTTCGTGGCTAAGTTTGTCTGGAAAAAACCATCCACGTGATACGGCTGGAGTCCGCGAGGGGTAAATTTCTAGAAAAAGACCCGTAAAGGAATGAATTCTCTAAATGTGATCAGCTGATGATGGCGGTTACTGGAGAATTCGGCGCTACCAGAGGATTTTTTTTTAAAAAAAAAGAGATGGGGATGAATTCATTGATGTATAGAAACAACTCCAATCGTGCAAGTTTTTTCTCCATCTGCTGTTGACTTTATTAACCCAAAAGTGAAAAGTGAGATGCCAAAGATTCCTTCATTACTATTTGAAAAACCCAAGTCCATTCTATTTAGACGAAGTTTACTCATGAGTGGATGCCGGACAATCTCACAGACATTGGGCAGAAGAACATAAATCGATGAAGTCGAATGAGGTAAAAATTTTATAATCGGGCCAATATCTCTTTCCTGCGTTGTTGGTATGACAAAATTTTACATAAAAATTGATTTCAATGACCAATATTTATCCTGACTATTGTGCATTGCGCCAAAAAGGTGCTTGCATCTTATAGAATAATTGCAATCAGCTAGTTTTCTCTTTTGCCTCTGCATATTAGTCGCTAAGGATACTCCCTTTGCCAAAAGTTTTGATGACTCTGTTTCAACTTTTCCATATTTTCTCATCGTTTTCAGCAAATCTTTGACAGTTGACAAAGAATGTGTAACCCCGTGCATATTTCAAGAGACGATCGTAGGAATAGATTACTCCGTTCACGCCCGAATATTATCTGCAACTTTATTTGATTATTTCGATGCTGTCTTTTGAATTCAACGTTCGTTTTATTGATAGGAGCGCATAAAGTTCTATTTTGATAAGCTCTAGGCATTGAATAGCAGACCATGTTTATGCTATACGATCTGCCCCTTGTTAACAACAAACGACTCCAGTGCCGAAATAGCAGCCCACAGTCGGTTTTCCGCCTCAAGAAATGCTAGGGACCGGCTCTTGTCATAAAACACCTCGTCACTCACTTCTTCAGGATGCCGGGGTAGGCAGTGCATAAATCGCCAGCCTTCTTTGGCTCCGCTGCGCTTTGCTAGGTCTGAAGTAATTTGGAACCCTTGGAATGCCTTGATTCGCTTTGCCTTTTCATCTTCCTGTCCCATAGACACCCATGTATCCGTCACAAGAATGTCTGCACCATTAACAGCTTCCTCCGGAACGTTAGTGTGAGTAATGTTTCCAGGAGACTCGATTCCGATGCGAGCTTTCTCAATTAATTCCTTAATATGCGATGGCATTTCATATCCCTTTGGAGTTGCGACGGCCATATCAACACCAAGTTTAGTAGCACCAATTGCCATATCGAATAAAACGTTGTTCGCATCCCCGACCCATGCAATTTTTCTTCCCTCTAGGCCTAGGCTAGATGTTGATGATAGACTAGACTTGTGTTGCGGTGGGAAAGCCTCGTAGATAGTGAGGAAGTCGGCAATGGCCTGTAAAGGGTGAAATGTGTCGCAGAGGGCATTGATGACAGGGACTCTGGAATGTTTGGAGAGCTCTGCAATATCGGAATGTGGTCCAACCCGAGCGATGATGCAAGACACCATGGAAGATATTACTACCGACGTATCGTAAAGTGACTCATTCACTCCTAGCTGGATATCGTCCTTCCCAAGAAACATTGGATGTCCACCCATAGATACCACTGCAGCTTCTGTCGACACGCGCGTTCGTGTACTTCGCTTGGAAAAGATCATGGCGATCGTTTTTCGGGACAACGATCCCATAAGAGATTGGGGTATTAATCCAGATTTCATGGAATGTTTATGTGTGGCGGCATTGCGGATGAGAGTCGTAAATTCCAAAGGTGTAAGGTCTGCTATAGAAAGAAGATGCCGGGGACCTGCAGAACTAGAGCAAGATGAAGATTGCCGCAATTGCGAACTCATATTGCGGAGAGCCCTGGCGGCACAACGGGATGACAGCATCATGGAAGCAAAGTTAGAAGCCTGAAGAAGATACGCCGGTATTTTGGGGGAGAGGTGGAAAAGAATGCGCTAGGGCAAAGGTTGGAGGAGTGCTGGATTCTGTGCTTTAGCAAATCCGCTGCAAATTGGGGGAAATACCAATGTGGAAAAAAGAAGATGTTCAGAAATGAACCGAGAGCAATTCAATGTCCGTAGCTAGGGAAATTCGTCGATGACTCTGGCAAATGGGCTGTCTTCGAAAGATAGCTTATTAACCCTGGCCGTTAGAACTTGCACCTAGCATGGATGGAGGAAAAGCTCCCAGGTTAAGGGGGATTGGCGTGAAATTTTTAGTCATTAACTAATGTAACTAATTCCCGATTGAGCAAATTCAAACGCCGCAGCTAATGTATGAACATTACATCTTTGATGTGCCAGAATGCCACAAATTCACAATAGAAACCATAATAATGACTCTGTTGAAAGAGAGGACAGAATTGAGCTTGCAATTAACTTCTTAAAAGATAAAAAGCCTTCTTCAATTTGTTAAGCAGCAAGGCTGCCTGGTCATATATTATATTTTTGGCTATGATTGAACAGTTAGTTTTCTTCAATTGGAAAAGGTCAATTGCTTATGCCAGTCAGACCTGGATTGTATACACAACAACTTCATTCCATCCTCAGCAACTGATTCTTTCAGTCCAGCTAATATTGGTGAGATGGAGCGTCCTCAACTTTCTGGTCAGTGTTTTCGTGGCCAGTCTCTCCTCTGGGTATTCCTCTGGACAATTATCTTGAGCAATTTCTTTCTCTGAAACCGCATTCAGATATTATCGATTCAGCACTAACATCTGTGCAATCTTCAGTCACAAACTCAAATGCCTTATTCAAATATCATTCTAGCCTATAGATGTGAAAGAATAAACATGATGGTATCACTATCCATACAGCAGACTCGAATATTTCCTGCGGCCGCGTCAATCCAAAACCCACCATTTTCTCATCATAAACAATCATCCTCATGGGTTTTCAGTTTCTGGAACCAGAACTATCAATAAACCGAGAGCCGCTTCGAAGGTCTGGGAACTCGAGAATCGCATGTACTGTCCTGGCTGGAGGTGGTGACCAGAGATAACAACAGTGTTTGATAATGGAAAGAAGATATTATCAAGACCGGAGTCTTTTGCAATTATTATTCTCCCATATAGTCTCCACAGAATGTAACCATTGCCATACAAATAGTCAGCTTTTCTCTTCTTGCTCTTGTGTCGCTGAATTTCTCTGTACTGGTATAAAAAGGTCCATTTTTTTAAGAAAGGGGCTCAAGCTTGGCTTGACGCTCGTCATCATCACAAAACGCCGCAATTTCATTGACTTCATTTTTTTTTTTTTTTTTTTGAGATTGTAAATCATTCCGCCAGAGCATCCAAAAGATTTTTAGCATCATCACTCATTGAGATTGGGGGCATTTTTAATGTAGATTTCCGGTGAACTCGTTGAAAGATTGCAACTTAAAAAATTTAAAACAGAGTCATCCTTTCACTTTCTTTTTACCCCTCCAGGTTTTCGGCCAAATGAACAACTTTTGCCCCAACCTTGTGACTAACTACCTAGGCTAGTTATTGGTTCAACAATTTTCCGGTTAGCCCGATATCCGGCATTCTATTAGACACTCCAGGTTGATTCTGATTAGTTCACCTTCAGCAAGGATGACATGAACAAGAGACAGAACGAAATCACCGTATATACTAAGATAATACGATCTACCACAGTGGATTTAAACCCAGTGTTGCACGAAAACAATTGCCTGTTTGAGCGTCTCCGTAGTTTTGGTGCGAACGGTTTCCCGGACGTCGTGCTTGGCAGCGGAGCTCCTTTCATTGTGATTGTTAATCTCCACATCTCCATCTCCATCTCCACTGCCCTCCTCGCAAGCGCACCGGCCCTGGGATCTGCCGTTCCTACGGAACGGAACTCGGGGACGCCAACATAGCACGTTTGTAGTGAAGAACGATCGAAATGGGCGCCAGCAAATTTGGGCGCTCCTTTCTCATGTTACAACCCCATGTCCAGTCGAATCTCGCTACACCACTGACAGGATGTTAAGTGCATGCAACCTTAGATTCCGCGGACATGAGGGGTTTCTGCCATTGATCAATAGCAATCACACGCGTGCACTGAATGACAGTTCAATGAAAAGAGAGAGTGAGAAGGGTGAAGGCAATGTGGGTGTACCACAAGAGTATATGATTTTAAAAAGATAATTCAATATAAAAAGGGTCTTACAAGAAAAAAAGTTAAAAGGTCTCATTTCTCAGTATCATATGATTGTATGAGAGCGTTTTTCCTCTTTCACGCTAGCCCCATTATATGTTTGCTGCGTCCGAAGTACCGTAGAGAAACTCTCATTATCATACAGGATATAATTAATAGCTAAACTAATCAATTCCCTCTTACGAACCTACAGTCACGGTAGCCATGCTACACCTGAATTCGACTGCTACTGCATGGATAATGCTATTATACCTCTTTACATGCCGTCTCATTCATCACATCTATTTAAGCCATTAAACGTGAGCCGCTTGGGACCGTTAAAGCAAGCATTTGGTGGAAACCACCAGTCAAGCTCTTGATCACCCGGTTAAGGGGGTGTCAAATGGCTATACATTGACCAAGGAGAATGAGGAGCTACGGGCTGCAGTTGCCAGGCAGACGCGAAAGCGTGACGAAGACGTGAGTATATAGTAAATATTTGTAATACATTTATTGATTTATTCAATTTAAATAATTTTCAATTGAATAAATTTAGATGGTCAAGAAGGTATTTCTAGCAGGGAAAGGATTAGCTAGAGTTCAAGCCGCTCAACACGGCATGGAGGGCCTGAGGGGGCGGATGAACCGCCAACCTGCAGCAAATGTAATATAGCGAGACATGCAATTAAACAGTGCAAACAACAGTAAGGAATAAATATACACATTTGAAATAAGTATTCTCAATGTTGGAGGTTGCTTAATTCCTCGTTTTGTCGAATATGCGTGGAATCAGAGGCGTTTTAAGGTAGTTTGGTGGGTAGTTATCAAAAGCTGATGAATTATTACATTATGAGTCACGTGATAAAGGGCAGCTGCTGTAACTATAGTTAGTTAACTGAACTAAGTTGGATGACTAATCATCGTCATACAACATCAATGACTCTTACAAGGTTCAGGCTGAGCAAACTTGCATCTTTCCAACTTCTTTGCTGTGTACATTTAAATTTCAGAGAGGCTCGATGTTACAGTTAGTCTCCTACTGGTTCAAAAATCCCCTGTGAACCTCACATTGTTGTGTCAGTTAAATGATCTCAACCAGCATGGCTGGGGACCTCGGGGACGAAAGCTCTCCGTTGTTGGGTGGGACCGCCCAGCAAACTCCTGATCCACCAACCTGCTCTGCCACAACCTCTATATGTTCTAACGGCAAGGCCAGGGCTACGTCGTATGAGATTTTGTCGGAATCTACACCACTTCTTGCCCATCGAAGTAGTGAGGGTATTCGGTATTTAGATGATCGCGACACACCATATTCGGCCTCTCGTGAACCATCCCCTGGTCCGTCATCTAAACAATGGAAAAAATTAAGGATCGTGCGACTGTTATCTATCGCATTCATCAGCCTTACGTTGGCAACAATCGTTGTTCTGGGGCTGGGTTTTGCTGCTCCAGCTGTCTTCAAACAATATTCTGAACAGGCTGCTGTCTTTAAAGTAACTGGCTTGTCCATCGATTCATTCACACCGGATGGAGTAAAGGCTAGGTTTCAGGGTTCTTTTGTTCTCAATGCGTCGCAGGTGTTGACGAAATCTGTGCGCGATCTCGGCCGCATAGGAACGTGGTTGGCAAGAGAAATTGAAAGTGACGAAACTGAAGTGCAGGTGTCTCTTCCAGAATATGGCAATGTTTTGCTAGGAACTGCGACTATTCCACCGATAACAGCCAATATTCGCAATGGCCACATGAATAGGATCGAGTTCGTAACAAACTTGAATGCAGGAGATATAGATGGAATTAGAATTGTGGCAAATGACTGGCTTCAAGGTCGCCTTGGCCAGTTGCGCATTAAAGGGATGGCATCTGTGCGCCTGAGGTCCGGTATTTTATATCTAGGATCTCATACCATTTCGGAGTCGTTTGTTTTCCAAGGTCAATATTTGTACAGCGCTTTCATATTCCCTCCCCGATTTAGACATGTCGAGCTAACAATTCTCGTAGACCAAGACCTTCCCGCTTTCCCTGAGTTTAACATAACGAAACTGAACTTCCATGAAATCACGAACCCGGGAAACCAAAAAGCCATGGTAGTGGACATTTCAGTCCTTGTGCTTAATCAATATCCTATCACCCTTGCCGTGCCCCCGATGGGCTTCAAAATTTCAGTACCTAACTGTTCACCTGCGGACGCTTATATTCCAGTGATTAACGCGACCACAGACCTTATTCAAGTTATCCCCAATGAACCAGTGAACATATCCGCGAAAGGATCTATTGGAAGACTTCCGGATGTTTTAACGACTGTTTGTCCCGGAACCAACTCATCGCCTTTAGATTCGTTGGTTGAAAACTATATACACGGACTCAAGTCAAAAGTTTACATTCGTGGAGGGAAATCCCCCTCATCAACCTTACCGAGTTGGATGGAAGGCTTCTTGAACAACGTTACCATCCCTGTGCCTTTCTCCGGCCATGCACTTGGCCGCTTAGTTCGGAATTTCTCCATGACAAATGTCTATTTTTTCCTACCTGAACCATTTGCCGAACCGGACACACCTGAAGCGCAAATGAGGGTTTCAGCGTTGGTCAAAGCAGTATTAAACCTCCCTAGTGAGATGGATTTTCCTTTAAATATCTCTCGCGTTCGGTCTACTGCGTTTATTTATTACCAAGGAAAAGAACTTGGATATATCAACTTAAAGAAGTGGCAACAAGCACATGCAACTCGCATCGACAACGAAACTATCCCATCTTCAGCGTTGCTCCTCGAGTTCGATATCAAAAAAGCACCACTACAAGTTACTGATGGAGATACTTTTACGGACGTTGTGCAGGCATTACTATTTAAGCACAAGCCTATTCCTTTACATGTGAAGGCCAAGGTGGATGCTGAAACCGTCACTGCCCTCGGACAATTCGTTATTCGTGATATCCCAGCCAGTGGTAACATCACTGTCAAGCGTATGTTTTCAGATGTTCGGTCTATGATGAAATACCCAACTAACTTTGATGTGAATTCTAGCACCGGCAAGCAGAGGATTGACCGACCTCAAAGTAGGCATGGACGCTCTAAAAATAGTAGAAACTACAGAATCATCTATACTACTTGAAACAAATCTAAACCTGACGAACCCGACTAATTATTCTGTTATCGTCCCTTACGTTAATCTGCTAATTGCTCATAATGGCACAAACGTGGGCGATGTCACTGCTCAAAATCTATCGATATCTCCAGGGCTCAATGCCGGCATTAAAGTAAATGCTCTCTGGAATCCATTGCAGTTAGCTGGGGATGACGGAGTTGCTGCAGGACGAGATTTGATATCACGTTATATTTCTGGTGTGTTCATTAGTTTTACTTTCGATCGGGCCCACACTAACTGGTTGCTAGGTTTCAATACGTCTATCACTCTCAAGTCATATGAAGGCACGATTCCCGCGCTCCCTACGTTTGGTCTAGCATTATCCCCTCTGGAGTTTGACATTCCGGTTCCTCAATTCGGAGCTCCAGGGGAGGATGATCGCAATCCAGGCGATCATGGTCGATCGCATTTCATCAAAGATGCAACGGTATTTTCTACTCTTATTGATTACTTTTCTAAGTGACCTCATATCGTATAAACACACTTACGGGTACTCCGTTCTATTTGATTATCTAGTTTTCTCCTGTCCAAGTTTCGCTTGTGTTCTACGCACCGTTTGGCAAGGACTGACTTTGGTTATCCTTGGTGTTGGCAGTTGCACTTGTGGACTTCGACGGCAGTGTTCACCCTAGCCTCGCCTTTATCATCAACCACACTTCTTATTACCTGCATTGATGCAACGGCCTTCTACAATCACAGTGAGCCGGCAGGGACCATCAAGTATGACCTACCATTTGCGGTGCTGCCTGGAATATCTGAAACTCCCCGACTGCCGGTGGACCTGAATTTTGGCGGTGCAGGATACGAAGCAATTCGCCAGGCGTTGGGAGGGACGTTGAAAATGGATGCTGTCGCTGACATTTGTGTTCAGCTTGGAGAGTATTCGGATGAAGTGTCCTACAAAGGTAGGGGGATTAGCGCAAAGATTCGGATATAGAGGGAGACTTTTTTCAACCGATACGATATTGTTTTTCGTGCTCTCCTGTTTTCTAGGGCGAATCAACTGGTTTTCTACTTTGCTTTCGGAAGTAATAAGTAAGAGTTAAGGAATAGACCACTCGGATTTACGGGAAGGACAGACCCCAAGCTGGTGGTATAGAGCTGGCGTATAGATATGGATTTTCCCAAGAGTATGTGACATGGCTGTGTTTTCTTGTTTGGCGTTGTATTTGTTTTGTCGTCGAAGTGTGTTCTATCCTTGTCTACGCACATGCAAATTCACAACCTTTTAATCGTTCCCCGCACCCCTGGCCGTGTTTCACCATTTAATATCTTGGTCGCATGTGTTGATTGCTCACATCGCTACTACCTTTCTACTGGTTACTGTTCCATGATGACGAACGATTGGTGGCACAGACCAAGCGTGTACGGACTGGGAATCTGCAAATCCGGGGTTTGAATTGCTACCATGTGGCAAGCAAATGAAAGATAGTTGTCATGTTCGTTTTTGAACGCTTATTCTTCATGGCTCTAGGACTCTTCACATTTCCGGCTTAACCCTTCTGCTTTAGTAAATGAGTGTAATCATTTTCATTCGCTGCTGTCACGGAAGCTTTGGCGATTTTAGGAATGCTAAATAATTAATAAAACAGTGTTTGGATCCTAAGCGTAGTGAGGGTCAGTCTCTGAAGCCACACCTAGTGTTTTACATCCAGGGGATAAGGCGATCAGAACATTGAAAAGGCCGATAAACGCTCACTGAGTTCTTGACGATTGGCCACACGTGGCCGAATGAAATGCAAGACCAGATTCGAACAGATCTTTGGATACCTTGGCCTTTCCACACCCATCTCAGTTGGACTTTTCTCGGATTCCTCGCAGCGAGCAAGGGCTCTGCTGTGCTTCCGTCCTGCTCTCGTCCTGCTCTGTCTATGATTTGGCACTGATCAGTATGAAGCCATGTTTCATTGGACTCGCTTGTCATCATCCAATCAATTTCGATTTTCAAATAGCGCTCTCATCCCCGACCTTTGCTGTCTACAGCGATCGACGCACATTGTTGTTCTTGTGCAACCGTCACTCTTCTTTCGGCCCAAAATTCCTTTCCTTCCCAGACCAATTAACTATTTATATTTCTCTACCGTGATGTCATAGCTGCATGTCTCTCAATATCTTGCATGATGGCGGCCAATCGCAGCCCGTTTTTGCCTTTCTACAACCAATCAACTTGTTCTATCTGTTCTCAACTCAAATTGTTTAGCCATCAGCCACGAGCAAATGACGCACGTTGCAGAATTAGTCTGGAGTTTCATTTTTTTCTCACATAGGATAGTGAGCTTCAAGATATTTGTGAAGCAAGGTTCTTCCTAGTCAAATCTCCCATCCCAACAGACTTAAGCTAACTGCTGGGCGAATTGGACAATCTCTTAAGATGTGTTATTCGCCGCATTCAGCAAAAAATATAAAAGAAAAGAAAAAAGAAAAAAGAAAAAAGAAACCAAACATGTGCTCTTTCATCATTGGTGATCCCGATGGCTATCGCAATCTTCCTCCGTTGGGCAGATATGACCCCGGAGGAGAGTCCCGGATATTTGTTTTAGATTGTCAATCAGTTGTTTCGCTTCATCGCTAACTTCAGGCCATGAAAGGGGGCTTTGCCCCAGCAAGGGATGGTAAATCCCCTTGTCATTTTGTTTCTAATTTTCGATGTTTCCACCCCTCCTTCGCCGGATAGCGTTGGCTCATTGATGAAATATCACCTTTCCCTTGATAGCCCCTTCAGCTATCTCCTTCATGCCAGATGACGTCAAAGGATAGTCCGCCACTCCCTATGAGGGGGCTCTCATGCTTCCTGAACAGCAGGTGACCAGCCGGAACAGTTGGGACAAATATGTCCCGGTCCTCAGCAATGTCATCATTACCTTAATTCTCTCTACATATATATAGATAGGGCATCACCCTCTTTCTATTCTTTCTTCACGTTGCTATTGATCTTGTTTCAGAGATTGCCAGAGTCAGAATATATCTTGACTTCTCTACTCTTCTTCATTTTTCTAGCTGAGTGGTGCTTTTCTTTAATCATACAAACTAGTTATCTACTTTGATAGACCACAACGTGTTAACTGCCATTCCTTTCCTCTCAACCCCGCTAACCCAGGCTTCTCTTGTGATCCTTTGCGAGGAGAGGGAAAATCTTTATATTTCCCATTCCCCTTTCTTTCCATCATGTGCGTAATGTTGTTAATGCTCAATTCATTTTTTATTTGCAGATCTTTCTTGGTCGGCCTTTACTCATTAATGTGAATCCACAGCCCACCAAAGACCTTCGCGACACTTTGCTTTTGGAACACATTGCGTCACACAAACGTACATATATATCTCCGGTACATTCACCTAGTGGGAAACATCAACCTGTTTCCCCTCCCTCCGCCTACCACTGAGCGACGTGAAGAGTAGTTGGTAAATCGCATCGGGAACGAAAACTAAACCCAAATTCTACGTCGCTCGATCTACGCCCCCAATATATATCTTACCATTCATCCAGCGTCTCCTCCAATTCCCCTCCTATTGCGATACTTACGATACTGTCGCGCTAGCTGCTTCTCTTGCAGTATGTGTCAACACATAGTTTACTACCAATGCGGTGTTAAGGAGACTGTATTCTCGGAGACCTGCAATTGCTCAAGGAGAACGGGTCAAAACCATAGTCCACTCTATTGTGGGATTTGTGAGGAGTGTCGGAGACGAAAAAAGAGGTGAGAGGCGGCGTAGTGACGGCGACAATGCATGATATATCTTGGAATTTGGAAAATGGAGGTTTCGGATAATTTTCTAAGTACACTTGATTTGTGCATGAGTGAAGCCTTGACAGATTAGAAGTGAATCGCTTTTTATGTTTTATAATCCTCATTTCATATTTTATTTATTTATTGATATTTTGATAATTTCATGTCTTTCATGGCCCAGTCGATAACCCAATGATGTCACGATGTCATGAACATGAAGCACACTCATATTGCCAAAATGTTCATTGAAATGAATGTTGATTCGTCAATTGAAGGGTAGATTTTCGTCCCCGATAGTTCCATGTAATTTCTCTTGTCTAACGGGTCGGCCAGGTCGTTTTGTGTGAAAGAGCGTTGATTTGATATGGGTATTTTCCAACACACTCTGTGTAACTAATTACGAACAGAGATGAAGATACCCGGACACTCTGTGATAACCCAAACTACATCCACAGCACGCCATTTCCAAACGGCAAAAAATGACCAAATTTCGTCCAACTATGTTCAGTAATTGATTCCGTGAAAACAAATGTTAAATCATATTTCACCACTGCGGAACTTATTTAACATGTGCATAGTAGTTAATGTATTGGAATAATTAAGAACTTCGATATCAGGGTGTTTCCAATTTATAATAGAACAGAAGAAAGTAAGTACATGGCAGAAGAGCAATGGCAGAATTATACATGGCGAAAAGCGAAAGCTTGTTCTTTCCCTATCACCATCCTTCCGCAGGTGATTCGTAATATTTCCATCCTAAGTGTCGCGAAACTCTTCAGGAGAAACGCCATGCCCCGGCAATGAAGATTCTAACACCCACACAAGAACAACGGCAGAAAAGATACATATGCTCATCAAGTCAAAATTGTCCAAATGGGAAATCTTAACCTGGGGGGAGAGTACTCGCGTCAACAACTTCAGTTGCGTCCTTTTCAAGGTCTTCATCCGGCCCAGTGAGCGGAGAGCGTGGCAGGGCCATCAGGCCTGTTCGGGTAGATTCGAGTATGCCGAACGGTGAAATCAGTTTGAGAAAGGAATCGATGCGGCTCGGTTTGGCGGAGCTTATCAAATGGTAGTATCGTTAGTTATCAGTAAACCGTCATGAGATACGGGGGAGGGGTTGATATGCACATGTGCCATTTTACTTTAAGGAGGATAAACTTACAGTTCCACAATGCAATTGTTTGTGCTAATATCCAACACTTTACCGCCGAACTGATGGGTCAGATGAGTAATGGCTTCTAAATGCTCGTGTTTGTGTCGAAGGGCTTGGCTCTGCGCCAGGCGGCTGGGGTGATAGTCAGTAGCATGTCGGTTTTCTTTTGATTTCCCTTGCTTGCTCTGGTTCGATTGAGGTTGTTCTTCACAAGAGCCGGACACCGCTCCCTCATTTTCTGGGGTCGTTATTTCGCGATGGTGTTGGAGGAGTTCCTCAAACACTTCAGGTCCTAGAATGCTAACTTTGGCAAGAAGGAGCTCGCGTTGCACCAGAGCTGAATCAGTGTAATCAAGCACCGCCCAGACAGGGACGAGATCGTCCAGTTGACGACGGGCCTGCTCAACCACACCATCTAGTCCATGAAGGACAATTGTCATCCGTGATAAGTCCTCTACCTCAGTATTACAGACGACAAGACTGTCGATATTGAAACCACGAGCTGCCAGAATTCCAGAGATGCGAGAGAGAACACCTGGTTCATTTTGTACCAAGCAATTTAACACATGGCGCTCTGGAGGTTTGCTCGAGGGCACCGGGGTTTCATAGAGAATTGACGAGACTGCCGCAGGTGCGGACCAAGTTGGGCTATCGGCAACTGGGAGAGGGAGGGGAGAACGGCGATGAAGAGCTTTATAGGCGAGCGCAGATGTCGAGCTTGACGAGGAACGGCTTATGTGGGCATTCAAGTAGGGCTTTACAGGAGATGCAAGCCTTCTTCCAGCACAACGTGACGACAGAAAGATGCGCGTTGGCGGCAGGGAGAGAACCTGTCGAAGAGCCATTTTCCCCAATGCACTCCGGCGAGAGCTGTTGTTCTCTATAGGCCTCGTCACAAAGGCAGCTCAGAACTCGACTTAATTGGGCGATTGGGAGTGTAAAAAGCCAGCTGGATAATCAGAACAATGGGATCCACCAGCATCCCTCACTTTTGTAATTTAAGAGGCGAAGGTAGAATGATTCACCATTCTGGCTGTTATTCCACAAAAGATTATCTAAGTTTTGTTTTCATTCTTTTTTGATGCTTGGGGTTAATGAGTGAGTCACATGATGCGACGGTTGACATCAGGCCGAAATCGGCTGTAATGACTAAGCGTTGCTTTTCCAACGTCGACAAATTGTCTAACCCATTTAAGGATATAGCGTATTGTGGGGAAATGGAAGCTTGGCACATGTGACTAAGCAGTGCATGTTTAGTCTACTAGTGGCGGATTTGGAATAGCGTGAGCCGCATGCCTTCACAAACGACTTTACACCATTGAGAAAAATGTTATTCTATGCCATCGATTGATGAACACAGTAACTCTGTCTCTGATCTCTCTTCTCTTGATAATTCTTCAAGAGGTTCATCATATCCTCTATAGTTATAGCTTCCCTCCTTTTGTTTCTCTTAGGTCCTGTGACAAGCAATGGCAGATAGTGAACGACGCGCAAAGCGCTCTCGTTTTGACCAAACAGAACCAGAGCCTCGACGGTCAAGATTTGATCGACGTTCTCGATCCCCATCTACTCGGAATTCTGATTCTACTAGGGAACGGAGCCCGCTGAGTCGGGAATTGCGAAGCCCTGGAAGTGATGACAAACGAAAACTCGCATCGGCGGATCCAACTGTTGCTGCAGGTAAGTCCACATGTGCTTGGTTTGAGGAGACTTCTCGTGGCCAAAGTGCTAATAGTTGCAAACTTTGTTTGACACTCAATAGCTGCTGCAGCAGCAAAGATAAATGCTGAACTTCAGGCCAAAAAAGCCATCCAGCACAGTGACGCGCCTCAGATTCGTTCTGTATGATTGCATTTCCCCGGATGCCCCCTGAAAGATTATATTTCTAATCTTTTTTTAATCATTGATATATATAGACTGCAAGTCCGGCGTCAAAGTCCTCCTCGTCAGGTGCCCAAGCTGCAGGCAATGTTAATGGCGAAGTTTACATGGCCGATGGAGACTATATCAAAGATATCGAAGTTAACGATCTCCGAAACCGATACACACTGACTAAGGGTGCAACCCAGAGGATGGTAAATATTTCTATCATATCTGCTGATATCCCAGGCATTGATTACTCCTACTTACCGGCCAACGCCACGGTTTCACAAGAAAACTGAACAATTGCCCTTTGCCCCTCTTTGTTGTGCTGGTGGCTGAAGCTTACCCAACTATCCATAGCATCTCGAATCCCCTCTTTGGCATCTGCTGACCTCCGCTGCGTGATATTTAGATTAAAGAAGAAACTGGCGCCGGTACGGCTTTCTCCATCACTATATTATTATCTACTATTTTTGTTTTAGAACAGAAGCTCATTTAACGTATTCAAGATGTCACAACACGAGGAAGTTATTTTCCTGATAAAAGCATGGCTACGGCTGCGGTGAGTTCCATCATCACCGTCACTTGATTGTGCGGAAGGAAAATGGCGGAGAGATTAACATTTTGTATATAGAATCCCCCGCTTTATCTCCACATAACGAGTACTACTAAAGAAGGTCTCGACAAGGCAATTGCCAAAATTGAGGAACTTATGAAACAAGAACTCCCCAATCTTGTTGACGAGCGGAGGTTCCGTCGCAGAGAACCAGAGCAGCAGGTTGAACGGGATGAGTACGGTCGGGTATGTGTTTCAGTCATCCTAAAAATAATGCGGCGTGAGTACGGAGGCTTATTTAATGTCAGCGCAAATGGCCAGAGGAACGGATCCCTGTTGACCTGGAGCCAATCCCGGGCTTTAATCTTCGTGCTCAGGTAGTTGGTCCAGGCGGTGCCTACGTCAAGCATATCCAGCAGGAGACACGTTGTCGCGTTCAGATCAAGGGGCGTGGCTCTGGTTTTACAGAGCATGGAACCGGAAGAGAGAGTGATGAGCCAATGTATTTGCATGTCGCGTAAGTGTCAGCCAGCCCCTGACCAGCTACAGACCATAATCCATTCTAATCGTCCAAAGTGGTCCGGATCCCAAGGAAGTGCAAAATGCCAAATCACTTTGCGAGGATCTTCTCGCTAACGTGAAGGAGCAATATAAGAAGTTTAAGGAGCAGCCACCCCAACAACGCTCATATGGCGGAGGTGGCCATCATGGTGGCGGATATGGACATCGTGATCGTCACCATTATGGTGGTGGCAGTTATGGGGGAGGCGGCAATTACGGAAATTACTCATCCCCTCAAACCCCCATGAGTCCAGCAGCCCCCAATGCCACACCTGGCACTGATGCAAGCGCAACCGCTCAAGCTGCTCCGGCTGGTCACTCTCTTGCTGACTATAGTCGCATGTACTCACAGTACATGACGGGCCAAGACCCCTACGCAGCATGGGGGGCCTATCAGAATTGTGTCGCTTATTATCAGCAATACTATCAGCAGCAGCAACAACCACCCCCACCACCACCTGACAGTGCTGCCCCTCCCCCACCGCCTCCACCAGGTTCTGAGGCCCCTCCGCCACCTCCAGGAGCGGGGTTAGCCCCCCCTCCTCCGCCACCCCCACCATCAGGGGGATATAATGCTGTATGAAAATTGCCTTGTAATCAATGCCGAATATTGAACCATTCAGGTGACTGATAATTTTATAGGTACCACCACCTCCTGATCTGTAATGTCTCCGCGTGTGATCTAGCTTTTCAACCTTCCACATCCCAGGCATAGCTATTATTGACTGGATTAATTCATTGTTGATGGGGTCTAAAGATGCATTACTCGTTTTGGCCAGATATTGTAACTGAGCATCTCAAATATTCAATTTACCCCAAAGGAAAACTGCGGAAAATCGCAGAAGTTGATTGCAATATCTCTGGATTATTCAACTGCTGTTTTTATAGCCATTAGCCCTTTTTACTTTTCTCTCTTCTGTCAGTGTGCTAGTTTAATCATTTTGATTCTACATATTGATTTTGACAATTTCTCCCCGTGTTTAATATATATGCCCGAAAAGCAAAATTCCCTATAGGGTCACATTATATCTACTTCGCCTGTGAATAAATACTCCTTATATTTTGTCCTCAACTATTTCTCATAGAAAACCGGAGTTAAAAGTTTAGTCCATATTTTGCTAACAAAGGTATGTTTAGAACAAGCCCATCTCATGATTTTAAATGTCTTGTAAGTTTGCTATATGGGATCTTAAAATGTTAGGACAACGCTCTCTGTTTGCAATTTATACCTCCCTTCACCTTCCATTGCTCTTTTGCTTATTTGCATTCAGTGTTTCTATCTTTCTAGTTCATCAAAATAATATAAATATTATATCAGGCCTATCCGCATTTTTATGTAATCTGCACTGTATATAACTTCTGCATAGCTAGCAATCACTTCATAATCAATCAAGCAATCTATCCTTCACAGGTTATGAGACCTGTTTTGCGCAAATAACTGTCAATTCAGGGAATTCTTATTAAATATAGTGTATATTAATCACTGCTCACTTCATTCAATATAATATTATCTTATTTTATATCAATTGATTGATTTGATACATTCTTATATTATTATTTTTTTTTTCTCTGTGTTCAATCTGTTCACTTAGCAGGTGAAAAAATCTACAACTCACTAATTTTTCAGTGACTGATCACACAAGAATATGTCAATCCACTCAATCAAGCTTATAGACAAGAATCTCAACAAATAAGATTACTCTATTATAAAGAAGATTAATATGATATGATGAAATATATAATGACTCACTCATAGTCATGATTAAGTTATTTCAGTCAATTTGACTGATCTGAAAATGATCAGAGAGCTCTGAGCTTACTGACCCCCCTGGAGTCATTCAAGAGTTCCAATATTAGATTCTCTAAAACACTTGATTGACAAGCCAGGCTGATTATAGCCTCTACTACAGTAAAGCTAGTCTATTTATATCATGTTGAATATGCTGATCTGACTCTTTTAGAAGATAAGGTGGAGATGCCTGCAGTGATCTCTAATCTGTCACTAGCAACTGACTCCAAAGAATTGCAACTGAGGAGATTGAATCTCAAACATCAAAAGATTGATTTAGAACTTCAAAAAGAGAGGTGTAAAGAATTACAGCTTCAACTTCAATTGAAGGAGCTCTACACTCAGAATGACAAGGTCATGATGTCTGCAAATCTGCTGGTGGGTCAACCATCAGTATGAGATCTGAACTTGAGATCCTGAATGTAATATAATCTCTATGATCTGAATAGCTATGTTGGCAAGGTGATTAGCCAGTTTAAACAGGATACTAAGTATGCTATCAAACTGAACACTCTGGTTAAATCTTTGAATTACCTCTCTTGGTATGTGAATATTAAGGCCAAGCTAATTGACACTCAATGCTGAGTTATATTAGAGAACAAGCAAGTCAAAAACCCTGATGAGAATCTCAAATAAGCTTCTTTTTGAGAGGCTAAAAATTGCTAGCTTTACATTTTTATTTTGAATGTATTGACAACTAGCATTAGGCTCTGTTTTAATAAGTATGATAAGAGCAGAATCACTTATTCCCTTTGATGTGTGATTGAGAAGGAGTTCTTCATTCTGAGAACACAGCTCTGCAGAAAAGCAGTCCTAGCATTTATATCAATAAGTAATATCCAAGTTATTAATGTACATATATTTTTTAATAAGTTCAATAATATTATTATGAAATTAGAAATACTTGATATTTTACTCTCAAATGATATAATATTTCACATGTTCTATTTTGCACTTCTTAATATATAGTGAAATTATATACAAAAGAAAATTAAAGAGATACAAAAGTTTAAATCAAAGTCTGTCATGTTAGATGTTCATTCAATTATAGAAGAAATACATTCTCAATTAAATCATCTTAAAGAGGTCAAGAAGGCTGTCTAAGTAGCTAATTCTTCAGCTAACATGACTTAGACTGAAAATGCAGCTGTGAGTTCCAATAATAGCAGTAATATTCAAAATAATTTGGCCTATAGGAGCTGACCTAGGAGATGCAGAGACTATCAAATGAGTGAACATTCAAATTCTGACCTCTCAATCTGCCTGGAATATAAGCATTGTTATGATGGGCTCTGCTGGACAGTCAATTCAAATAGCACTTCTGAAGAATGAAGGATCACCAACATAGCAAGAATAGAAAAGTATAATAATAAAGAGAGTAGTAAGGGCAAAAAAACTCTATCAACTGTAAATAACAGCTCTAAAATGTTTCAAATGATGAATTTAGTGCAGATCATTAGAGTGTCTATGTACTCTACTGAATCAATCATCAACTCACTTATCATATGAAATAGCAGAGTCAGATGTCATATTATGTATGATTAATTATGATTTTTTTTAAATAATAAAGATTAGCAGCTCTATAATTTAAGTGGTCAATAAGACAATTTTGAAAATTCAAAGAATTGAGATCATCTCTATCCCAGTCAGAGAAAGATTAATTGAATTTGATCATATCTATTTGATGTCAGATTTATCTGTCAATCTCATATTTACTGGCCTATTGAAGTGTCAGAGCTATATTCATCATGATCTGCAAATGGATACTGAAAATTACTTTGAGATAATAGCATATACAAAAAATGACATCTTCTATGTAAATTTAAATTCTAATAATATATATATTCTATCTAATATTTTTTCTATGTTTAAAGATATTATGAATGATCTGAAGCTTGAATCACTGACATACTTGATAATTCTGAAGCTCAGAGTGATTTCAACAGATTATGATATGAATACTGTATCATTAGATCTTTTCAACTATGATGACATGGAGTAGCTAATTAACTCAAAGAATCTGAATACTAATATCTTCATTTTGTTCTTATCAATTTGACTACTCATTATTATGCTGAAGCAGCTACTGATTGATAAGTGACACTAGTAATTGAGTAATATTGATGAGAAGAATCTAATTAAAATGTCACAGAAGCTCTGTTTCAGAATTGTCATCATCAGTCTAAAGAAGCTCTCATTCTGCATCATGTATGTTAAAGTTAAATATAAATATGCAAGTTATAAAAATGCTCTACTACACTATGTTATCTGCAAAGATCTTAAGATTTGAATAAATCTATTTAGAGGTAAAGAAACACTTGATAATGAAGAAGATATACCATTTTATGCAGGTAAGAAGCTTGTGATAATGATTACTAACAATGCTATGTGAATATAATAGACTTTTCTATTGAAGTACTATAATGAGACTCTAAAATATATATAGACCTTCAATCAATTTATGAAGAATCTGCTCAATCACAGTGTTGTGATTATTTACTCTGACTGTAGTGAGTTGAATTCAAATACTGCAGTCATCTATATGATGAGTGAGAGTATTAAATGAGAATCAATCTCATTTTATACTCTGCAGCAAGATGATATATTCAAACATTCTATTGATCTGATTATTAAAAAAGTTTAAATATTATTAATAAATTTCTCCTCCCCTCTTCAGATGTGGAGTGAGGTGGTAATTGCAGCAATTGAAATGCTTAATCTTATGCCAATATCAGTCAAGCTCTATAACAGTGTAGAAGATTCAGATTCAAAGCTGGTTACTTCATATAAAGCTTAACTTGAGACTCTGCTCTCTGCACATGAGATTTACTGATAGAGGTGCAAGGCTTATTTAAAAATAGTACTTAAGCTGAATATGAAGATAGCTTCATAATCACAGAAGCTTATATTTACAAGCTATGATGACTTTATTAATTATAGATTGATTGATCCTTCTAACGATCACCTTTATATATTGAAAGATATGATATTTCAAGAAGATCTTTATTTAATAAATTCTCTGATTTCATCTGAGCAAGATGTCAAGAATCTATCTTCTGTCATTCATATGACTATAGTTGTGATTCTCTTCACCTAACACAATTTATTAACAGATGATTTCATAATAAACAGAGAGTTTCTATCTGCCTCTTCAGTATTTCTACACTCTATAAATAATTGATAGATAGACTATGAGATTACTATGCAGATTCTGATATTTTTGATGTAAAATACTACTGCCCTCTCAGAGTCTGCTTTAGAGATAAAGAATTCTTCAATGTTCACTGAGAATATTATTTCAGTAAGAGAGGTCTCAGTGAGGAATTTCACTGACAATTTGATTGACATTCTCACAGACTCTAAGATTATCAACTTGTCAGTTTCAAAGAATCTTATCTGAGCTCAGGCATCTGCAGATTGAAAATATTACTTCCATGTCTGTGTTAAGAAGATTAACTGCCTCAAGCAGATTAGTGCATGATAGCTAGTTGAAAGGACCTCAGATATGATGATTCTATATGACCAATGAGTGTTCAATAAAAAGATTAATAATATAAGTAGAATTGATTGATATAATGTCTGCTGAGTAGTCTGCAGCAATTATCAAGAAAAGAGTGTCAACTATTCAAAGATATTTGCATCAGTTATATTGGTCTTCACCTCTCAAGTACTTATGATGATCTCAGTATTCTGAGAATAGCATATTCTACAGATCAACATAATTATAACATTTTTAAATGCTCAGCTTCCCATCAATAAATGTATATATATGCATCAACTCATCAGGTTTCATA